GTATAAGAGACAGTATATACACACGTACCAGAGAGGTCTCTCCGTACAACAGGAACGGTTCGTTGAAAATTCAAATCTGTTTCTTCCATTAATTTCAGATCAACTTCATATGTGTGATTATTACTTGCATCATACTTCACTTTATTCTCTTTCTTTCTGTAAGCTTTTTCTAGCAAAATCACAATTTCGTCTTCAAATTTTTCCATATCATTTTCATCACTTGCATAATACCATTTAACCTCCTTCAAAATGAGCTCATTTTCTTTCTGTTCCCTTTCCTCTTCGTGAATCTTGTTGAAGAGTTCCAAGACTTCCCCATGGGCATCCAATACACTGGTAGTCCTGCCGCGCAACTCAACTTCGTTGGACTGCATGTTAGACACATCTACTTCAACCTAAAGACAGATAAAATAGCCTATAGTTGTAATGATGTGTATTATACAATATTTATTTATTTAATATAATATCTTAACTAATTATATAAGCTCAATATTTTTATTTTTACTTTTTGTTTGCATACTATTGACTGACGTGATTGATTCAATGATTGACTAATTGATTGATATTCTAATTGATTGACTGACTGGTTAGTTGGTTGGTTGGTAGTTCGCTTATTTGCTCGTGAAGAACTTCCAATCGATCGATCAACTGGCTAGTTATTTGACTGATTTATATATTGACTGAGTGACTAAACTGTATTAAATTGATCAGCAATATCCACTTTATAATTATTGGTAAATCATTATTATTTGTACTGAATTGAAGTATTGATTGATGAATGATGTATTATAATAATCATATGTACTTAATAAATATTGTTATATAAAAATAAGTCTTGAAGGTTTTGTTATATTTTTATGAAGTGTATTGAATTAATGTATTGATTGATGAATGATGTATTGAATAGAGCATAGGCACTTAATAACTATTGTTAAATATTAAAATAGCACACCTCATATTTGGCACAAATCTCTTTTAACTTGCTAATATGCCGTTTTGTAAATCGATTTAACACTCCTTTACGTATGATCTAAGAAAAATAAGATATGATTAGGAGACAAAACAAATACAATATGATACTTAAGATAATACCTATCCTGTATTTTGCAGACCCTTGAATTAACTAGTTATCAAATTAAGGTGTTTTGTAGTTAAATGTCTGTAAATAAAATTTAAAAAAAACAAAACCCATTGTTTTATCAATTTCTGGTATAAAGTAAATACCTTTTAATTTAAATGAGATTTTGCAAATTGTAATTGGATTTCGACAATTTCCGACGTTTTTTGGACAGTTTTATCTAAAGGTTGACAATGCTAATAATGAGCCGTAACAAAATAAAATAAAAACTTCCGAGCATGTTAAAATAATGGGCTACACAAGTTCACAAACTTCATGAAAAAAATATAATGTTTAACCTTTTCCGTCGTTTCCGTTGATATAATTAATTGTATTTTGCCTTTAGCGTCTTGTATTTGATCCTTGTTCATTGCCAGAATTTTTAGGGTGACGGTGGGATCAACAGACGAGCCATCAGCTATCTGTCCTTCTCCTGCCCCTACCCAGGACATTACATAATCTGAACATTGAATAAAGATAAATACTGTATTAAACTATGGCATTGAATAGTGATTATTCCACGACCCGCCAAAACAAGGCTAAGAGCAACTCAAGGTAAGAGGCTAGAAATGAAGCGCTGGGTAGAACAAAGAAAATAATTCACATCTCCTAAACTAAACAAAGGGAGGTCATAAATTTGGTGAAAACAATAAGCATGTTTAGTTAGTTACAACAGTGAAATGCAACGCTGAAAAAGATGTCAGCATAACATTTTGTTTTGCACCTGGGACTAACAATGTTGAATTTGTGAGTCTTGGATGAAAACCGGTTTTCAATTGCAAAGCGAGGAAATCAAGTTGGTCAGGCTGGAACAACATTTGCGATTTGCTAAAAGTAAATAATAATAATAATTATTATTATTTATATAGTGTATTTTAGATTTCTGTTCAATGCGCTTTACATAAAATAGACAACATCATACAAATAAATTACAAAAAATATTGCACAGAAAAACTAAAAAATATACTTATTATTAATTACATATTAAAAAAATTGAAATTATAAAAATTATCCAAAAATAAATATTAATAATTACCTAATGATGTGTTTAATAAATACATTATTAGATAAGTTTAAAATAATAAAAATGAAAATAATTATGGTACCGTAACTAAGATAAAATAATAATAAAATAATAGTAATAATAATAAATAATATAATAATAATAATAATAATAATAATAACAAATAATAAATGATATTAATAAAAATAACGAAATGAAATAACAAAAATTATAATAATAATAATTTTTTTTTAAAATTTTTATTCCTTATAGGCCTTAATGTTTTCATGTCTTAACTATTTTACTATTTTATGTGTATATACA